TTGTTAAATTTGTTATCTTTCCCAAAAAATTAACTTTAATTTTCGTCTAACAAAGGTCAATTAGATTGACACCACAAATTTTTTTTAATTTTTGATTTTTAAAAATCAGAAATACAACCAGAGTAGTTTTAGGGCTTTTTATGTTTTTTTACAAGACTTTTGTGATATTTTTGTATAAAAACTCATTTGTATGACAGTATGGTTAACTACTAACTTGTGATTTTTTTGGCAAATATTTCATGATTTATCTCCAAACTTTATCACAGAGTCACAAGCAATGGATTACTAGTATCTCGTGGAAACCGTTCCACCTTAACTACCCATGTCGTCGGTTTGTTACTTCTAGCAAAGATGGGGATGCAAGGATATGGGACATTGCACTAAGGAAATCTGTAGCTCTTCGTTTATGTTGTGTAATTATGTCAGTATGTGTATCAATTAATCTCTTGATCACTTCTCAGGTTGCTATTCAAATATTTGTCTTGTGTTTGGCAGTTCTCAAGATTGTACAATAAATATGTGGGACGTTTCTCAAGAGGGGGCTCCATTTTTGTAGACACAACTAAAGGTAGAAGCTCATTTTGGAAGATGTGGAATCGTCTCTTGTAGTGGCTATTAATAATTCTTCTTTACTTGTAGTGGCTAAATATTAGGCTTTTTACAAACCGCAGTTGGTCCCCGGACAGTAGGATGCTTTTAAGTGGTAGTAAAGACTCTACTCTTAAGGTAAATCTTGTTTGGTCTTAAATCATACACAAATCTGGAGGTAGTCCACGATTTCTAAAGCTCACTTGCACAGGTGTGGGATATTGGACAGAGAAGGTCAAAGCAAAATCTTCCTGGTCATGAAGATGAGGTATTATTAACAGTTTGAAAGCTAATGTGCCTGCTTGGAATGCGCCAATCGGTTAAAATGTTATTCGTGTGTGGATAGGTTTATGCAGTGGACTGGAGTCCAGATGGTGAGAGAGTAGTCTCTGGTGGTAAAGATAAATGTCTGAAGCTATGGATGAGTTGAAGTTGGGGCTTGTTTTATTACAATCACAACACATTCAAATGTTAGCTCTATCAAATTGTATTCGCAACTACAAGATTTTGTATTTGAATAAGAGAAGGAACAACTGAGACTTCTCTTCCATAAATTTATTTCTAGAAGAATGGCTTCATAACACTTTGTTTTGCTTAGTTCTTCTTACTCTTTATTTCCATACGAAATGGATTGAATTGCCATCTTATTTCAGAGAGTAAAACAACACAAAGCATA